ACCGAGATCAACATTTAAGGAACTCCAGGCCTAGCTCGTCTCAGATAAGGTCAGCGTTTATGGTTCCACTATTAGACAGAGACTGGGCAAATTTGGAATCCATGGGAGAACTGCACTGCAAAAACCACTGCTGACCAAGAGGAACAAAAAGGCTCATCTCAAATTTACCAAAAAACACCTTGATGAACCCCAAGCCTTTAGGAATAATGTTCTGTGGACTGATGAGTTGAAAGTGGAACTTTTTGGAAGACAGGGCTCCTGTTTCTTATGGGATAAAGCTTAAGCTTAAGACCATCATATCAACAGTCAAACATGGTAGGGGTAGTGTGATAGTGTGGGGATGCTTTGCTGCTACTGGGCCTGGTCGACTTGCCGCGATTGACAGAACCATGAATTCCACCCTCCAACAGAAAATCATGCAGGACAATGTGTGGTCATCAGTCTGTGATCAGTAGCTCAAGAACAATTGGGTCATGCAGCAAGACATCTATCCGAAGCACAAAGTGAGTCCACTTATGAATAGCTCAAAGGAAACAAAATTAAGGTTCTAGAATGGCCTAGTCAAAGTCCTGCCGTGAACCCATGAGACGTTGTAACAGAATCTTACAAGGCCATTTCATCCACAAAAACCCTCAAAGTGGCTGAATTAAAGCAATTCTGCAAAGAAGAGTCGGCTAAAATTTCCTTCATAGTGATGTAAAAGACTGATCTCCAGTTACAGGCAAGTTGGTTGCAGGTGATAAAGGTGGCACAAACAGATATGAAATTGTACTTTTCTACACAGGGGATACTTTTTTTTCTTCAACAAAGGAAAAAATATCTGCAACACCTATTACACGTGTTTAAAAAAAGTAAAAATTAAATAACTGGATAACTGGCCAAAAGAACGACTGCATAAAAATTGTTCCTCATGTTCTTCTTGTCTTATAGCATATTTTGTATGAGGATCTGAAACCATTTAGTGTGATAAATGTGCAAAAATAGAGGGAATCAGGAGAGGGCAACACACACATACAGAGCAACAAAATTCTCACAGTCACACCCCTTCCCCTTCAAACTTCAGTAGATAAGAAATCTCCCTGGTGGAACCAAGAAACACACACTTATGCAAACACACACACCTCTGTGCAATGTATGACCCGTTATAAGAGCAGATGTTTACATCTTAGCCCACATTCTTGCATGTTTGGAACAATCTCTTTAGCGTCCAGCATCCTCACACCAGTCCTCACTCTCTTGCTATTTTCTTCCTCTTGTCCCTTCCTGTGACAAAACACCGGACATACATATGCGCAAACACTGCAGTAATACAGCAGCCTATCAGTGAAGGGCAGCAGTATCTTTTTTAATTGAATTCTTTCTTTTTTAATTGAATTCTTTCTTTTTTTTTTGCAAGCAACACGATAACGAAAACTCTCTCTTCTTTACCTGCTTATCTACAAACTCTTTCAGTCTTTCTGCTTCTTTTCTCACACTTTGCCTGCCTGCTCTGGACCTCTTGCCTCTCCCCTTCCATTCTCTCTCGCTCCCTTTGAGACAGGAAGTTCCCTCCTCCTAACAGGAAGTCTTGTGTGAGTGGAGCTGGAATGATAGGATACTGGGAAGTGAGCAGTCGTTCTGCAATGTGCACACATAAACATGCACGCACGCACACACTACAGCAGCACAATTAATCATGTACCAATCAGTATTGCGATTTCCGTTAGTGTCGGTGTAAAAGTCTGTGCATCTTTAAAATCGTTCACAGGAGAATTTGATGTGTAAAGTGCTAAAGTACTGCACAAACAAGAAACCATAACAACTTCATACAGCACTGTGGAGAAATATGCCAATACGTATTCAGGCCGGAGGGCACAAGAGAGAGAGAGAAAGAACTACATTTGGAGAGAGATACAGAGTGAGAGAAAGCCTAAAGATATAGAGAGACTGAAAGAGACAGAGGGAGACAAAGAGAGAGAGAGAGAGAGAGAGAGAGAGAGAGAGAGAGAGAGAGAGAGAGAGAGAAACAAACAGAAAGAACTCTAGAGGCAGAAGAGAGAGAGTCAGACAGAAAGAGAGGGTATGAGAAAGCTAAAGTTAGAGATGAAGGGGGAGAAAGCTTGAGACAGAGAAAGCCAGAGAGAGAGAGAGAGAGAGAGAGAGAGAACAAGAGAGAGGGGTAAAGGAATAAAGAGAGAGTTAGAAGTAGAGAGTGAGAGAGAGACAGAAAGAGAGAGAAAGAAAGAAACACACAGAAAGAACATTAGAGATAGAAGAGAGAAAATCAAAAAGACAAAAAGAGAGGGTAAGAGAATACTAAAGTTAGAAATGGAGAGGGAGAAAGCTCAAGACAGAGAAAGCTAGAGTGGGGGCAAAGGAATAGAGAGAGTTAGAAGTAGAGAGTGAAAAAGAGAAAGAAAAAGAGAGAAAGAAAGAAACAAACAGAAAGAACATTAGAGATAGAAGAGAGAAAATCAAAAAGACAAAAAGAGAGGGTAAGAGAATACTAAAGTTAGAAATGGAGAGGGAGAAAGCTCGAGACAGAGAAAGCTAGAGAGAGAGAGAGAGAGAGAGAGAGAGAGAGAGAGAGAGAGAAGACAATGGAAAAGTCTGTCTTAGGAATAGGAAGTCAGGTGTCACAAACACAGCCACTTCCTTTTTCCAAATGATGTCAGTTTCCTCCAGGGAGAGATTTCACACTGAAATCTACACAGACTGAGATTTCATTAGCAGACCTGTATTCAGAAAAACACCTAAAACATTAATTTGTGCTCATTTTATGCTGCTCAAATCCACTTTTACTGTTCTTACTGTTACCAAGCTAAATGTCTCCACTCCATGCTCTATGCTAACCCCAAATCCTGTCTCAGCTCAGAGGGCTCCTACTCAGCCTAGAAGGAGCGCGATGCAGATTAACACATAAAAGGTAGAGTCAAGTTTAATGGGATAACATCATCCTGAAGTTCTAACTAATCAAAATTTAAAAAAAAATGTCTGTTAATTCCATCTTTTACAGAGACAACCCTCCCAAAACAACCTGGCCCTCAAACGCAGTGTCGCCGTCACGATCGGGCACAATCTGGTTCACTTGCATGTTGTGCTGCTGGTCAACCCAGCCATGTTCGGTTTCGGACAATTTCTCGGTAACAGGGAATAGACACAGGGCCGCGCCCACTTCCTCCCTCAGCGCCATGGGGGCTTTAGGCAGGAAGTGACCTCGTAAAAGAACAGGAAGTGATGAACCCCATGGCCTAATCTGGTCCCGGTGACATTCCATTCTGTTTTTCACCAAAGGGTGTCAACCTGCTCCACCGTTGGACTATTATTACACCATCTAGAGTCTCAACGTAAGTTAGTCAACAGCTTATGAGGCAAGTGTCACCACATGTGGTAAGTGTCAGACAACCCATGAACAGTGCAGGTCGGTTCCTCAATGTTAGATTTGTTTCAAAGTCCTGACAGAAACGTAGTCAGTGATAAATGTCACTGACCAGAATGATCAGTGACTAGAAACACTGTAGGACACTGCATGATTAGAGGTGGGCAGAGTATCCTAACACCATACTCGTGCATAAGTATTGTTATTTTAGGTCAATAATAATTCGAATATATGTAAAATTAGTTACAACCTTAGTACAAAGGTGTCACTGTGGTGGTACCTTCAGGCGTATGTTTAGTTAGGGAACATAACTGTACCTGTACTATAGCTATTCCAATGCAGTCATACTTTTAAAGTAGCACTGACTCCTGTCTTGACTCTGTCTAGAAGATTTTTTATTTCCTACCCTCAAAAAGTTATGAAAAGGTACAAAAACACCACTTTTGACTGGAAAAGTGAATGAAGTGTACATTTACAGCTCTTTTTAGGTACACAACTGGCCCTTAAAGACCATGTCGTACTTAAATCTACCTGGACAATACCCTATTTCTGAACTGTAGTGGAACTTTTAGTACATCCACATCTGTCAGCATAAGAACTGAAGTTTGTTAGGCTCTCTTCTTATTTTTTGGGATTCTTTTGGCTTAAAATAAAAATTATAACTCTGAAAAGTAAGAGGTGTGAGCCGTCCAGGTGCTGAACCAACAGAACAGAAAGAAAGTCCACCCAAATGGCAAAGATTCAAATGGAATTAAGGCCCCTTTTTCACAACCATACATAAAAACTGACATGGGAAAACAGTGAGAAAAGTGCAAATCCATCAAAAAGTTAGTTGAGAACGTGGAGCTGAGGAAATGTAACTAGTTCCTGTCCACCACTGTGTGTGATAGTGCTACACCAAGTGATAAGGACTACAATGGATTCAGGTCAGCCATTTCTAACAAGAGCAGACCAGAAAAAAACATATACATCGATGTACAAGTGCCACCAAACCAGCTTTACGTTTCAGAAACTGAAAGCTTTCCTGTCAGAGGTCATCCAAAATCAGCCCACAGAGGTTTCAAAAGTCTCTCTCACGCACCCACGCGCACAACCTGACAGACTCTCATGCTACAGCTAAAGCAAAAGCTAGTTGCTGTCAAATGAGGCGGTGGTTATATCTGAATGTGTGGCTTTAATTTTCAGATGCTGAAGAACATCCTAGCAGTAAATACTGTATTCAGGCCAAGCAGAGTAACACTTTCACACGCCTTTATTTTGACGAAACCAGAATAAGCTTCTCACTCGATTTCCCGTTCCACCTTAAACGGTGCAGCAGCTACGTTCTGCAATGCAACTGCTGCAGAACGCTACCGCTGCACCATTTAAGGTGGAACGGGAAATGGACTAAGAAGCTGGCAAATAGGAAGCCAACTCGCTTCATCGTGCATCATCTCAGATCAGACTACAGCCCAACAGGGAAGTTACACCGCGAAAAAAACAGGCCAAGCCACAGCACATAGCGGCTTAATGAGAGCAGCGCAGGATAAGAAGACACTTCATCTCTCTCAGGACACCAGCGTCTCGCGCCGTCACGGTTTTGTCTCACTATCTGACATTAAGACACTCAGACGAATCACACGCTGTCATCATTATCGCTCACCTGAGTGAATCCTCGCGGCTGCGGGAATCGCAGAGATTTGCCCGAGTGTGCGAACAGACGACGCGCACTTGCCGCTTCGCTCGTCAACGCGGAGAGTGAAAGGCGGCGCTCAGAGCCGCGCAGCTGACCGCGGATGCGCTCGCGCCCTGTCCGGAAGGGTTGAATTGTGCGCGCGCTCTACTTGTCCAGCGCGTGTGCGAGGGCGGTCTCAGCTTCCCTCATCGCACACGACGCCAACACTGCCAACATCACCAACACCACACCCCCGGCACACTGCACTGTTTTGTCCAAAAGTCACAAAACTCGTAACGCTTGGCCACTTCAGTCAGTTTATTAGTGACTGATAAACTACAGCAGAGACGAGGAGGACGACAATCACTGTGAAACAGCAGAGGTTCACTCAGTGTTGTTACTGACAGGCAGCTTTTACTGAAATAAGAGTTTATCAGTGTTTTTTTCTGCATCATTGTAAATGTTTTGAGGCAGTTGGTCTATTTCTGCGTCTCATGTTACGCTGTCGCCTGCCAGTGGCCAGACACCGCAACTGCGACATTTCTTTCTTATTTTTCTTTTCTTGCTATTTGCATGTATTTTTATCATTATTACATTACAATAAATATGTTTTTCAGGGCGGCACTGTGGCGCAGTGGGTAGCGCTGTCGCCTCACAGCAAGAAGGGCCTGGGTTCGATTCCGGGCCGGGTGACCGGGGTCATTTCTGAGTGGAGTTTGCATGTTGTCTCCGTGTCTGCGTGGGTTTCCTCCCACAGTCCAAAGACATACAGTCAGGCCAATTGCCCCTAGGTGTGAATGTGTGTGTGATATGTCTGTCTGCCCTGCGATGGACTGGCGACCTGTCTAGGGTGTTCCTGCCTTCTGCCCAATGACAGCTGGGATAGGCTCCAGCGACCCGGAAGGATAAGTGGTTTAGATGATGTATGTATGTATAATTTTTCATACTTGGGTAGTTATGTAAATATATTTACTATATATATTTATATAGTATATATATATTTATATTTATATAAGTATTTTTATTTATATTCAGTTCAGTAGAACCATCTAATTTGTATGTCCACTTGCTGGCCACGTTATAAGGTTCATCTGTCTATCCAAGTGTACAAAACTGTGGCTCATCTGTTGTCATTCACAATTCATCAGCCACTCTCTGCCCCATCCTCCACTGGTCAGTTTCTGCCCACAAGACCACCATTGATCAGATAGTATTTTGGTGGTCAAGTATTCTTAGCACAGTGACATTAATATAGCATTGTGTGAGATATTGGTATGAGTTAATTAAACACAGCAGTTTTGGGGTCAAAAGTCTGCCACCAGCATTTCTGTGGTCAGAAAATAATGACGGACTTGTGAACGACTAACACAAACTGTACTTTAACTGTACCAGTAAGCGTTTTCTGAAAGGTAGGTGTTTCTAATGAACTGAATGCACTTTCATTCAGGAAGTAATGATAAATGTATTTTGTCCTTTGCTAAACTGTTTGCCCTCTCTACAGTTTCAAAACTACATGCATAATTAAAACATCACACAATGTAAAAAATATACTTTATTTGACATAAAAATACAATTAAGACGTTCCACCAAAACACAAACAAAATGTGCTTTCTTTCCCCCCACAAGCTGGCCAGCTGGAGAACAGCAAGTACCACAAGCCAGTGTTTACCCAATCCAGTCCTCAGAGACAAACATGTGCCACGATTTTACTCCCAACATCCAGTGTACCTCAACCAAGGAGACATAACACTGGATTCATGGTACAGGTGTGCTGGGAGCTGAGCCAGAGCGGAAATCTGGACGACCCAGGGTTCCCAGAGGACTGGATTTGAAACCACTGCCATAGAAGTCAGAGGCAGCGTGAAGACAGAGTGCTAAAGACCTCTCTCAGCTATACATTCATCAGCTCACGTGCACACGCACAGAGATAGTGCGGAGAATACTGCACAAAAGAAGATACACATTCACAGTATGATAAGCAAAAGGTCACTGGGAGAAGATTAGGTTTTACACAGAAAATCAGCTTTGCCTCCCAATCTCAACCATGACCAAGCAGCAGCTGAACAACCAGCACACCAAAAAAAAAAAAAATAATTAAAGAAACTAAAGATCACAACTCGCACATGTGTATATGAGACTAGAATGGGGTTGTGGTAGTGTTTTATAATCACTTCACCCACCATTCTAATGCTTACAGGAGTAGTATGTGCTTTTATTACAGGAGTGTTAATGTGTGGGTGAAGTGACTAAACTGGGGGTTCTAGTAGTGTCTGTAATGTCATAGTGTCTTTAATCTTTACCCACCATTTTATTGCTTACAGAGCAGGGTGTTTTGTGTGTGTGTGTGTGTGTGTACATGTATGTGTTAGGTCATGTAGCGGGTGATGGCTCTGAGTGCATAAAGCAAAGCTGCTTGCAGTCTTGCCTCCATCAGTAGCAGGTTCACATGGACCTATATACATATATATTTATAGAGGGAAAGAGAGAGAGAGAGAGAGAGAGAGAGAGAAAGAGAGAGAGAGAGAGAGAGAGGGAGAGAGGGAGAGAGAGACAGAGAGATCCCACCTTTAAACACAAGTGCACACAAAAGCAAGCATACAAACCTCTATGCAAAGTTAAACAATTTTATTCCATATTTGCATTCGTCTTTTGCACTGGATATACCAAAAACACATAAAACTACATCGATAGAAATCTGGTTACTGAGACAAAAACAACATTAATTAAAACCTTGCATACACTTTCCCCATTACATACCTTTTCTGAATGGCGGAACTGCCTCCAGAAACAGGAGTACATTCTAAGAGTGGTCTTCTCCGGATGGCAGGCAGCAGTCTTTACAAACACCTTCAGGCTACGTTCTAATAACTGGTTGACCTCACCATAGTCATAGTCATCATACCTACACAAAAAACATAAGTGTTTTCATTTTCAGCTTATGAAAAAAAAAAAAAGTTTTATCAGATTTAACTTCTAATCCTAAAAGGCAATCTTCTGTTGAGCAGATGTGCACAGAGAACAGGGAATAGTTAAGAGGGAACAAATATAAAAATAAACAATATTTTTCACAGAATGCAATTGAAAACAAAATCACTTTCAACTTCCAAAATGTGGTTAGCTTATTGATTAATAATCAGTTATATTTTTGCTCTGATTAACCTTTTATTACATGCATTTTTTAGTGATTGATTTGTGTTGTTTTATTAATGTAGGCCTAACATTTTCAGTGTCATGTTACTAACAATTTTTTAATTTTGTTGTGATCAGTTATCAACTGGGGTGGAATGCTGCAGCAGTAACAGAAAAATGTTATTTCTGTTTGTAACAAAAACTGTTTAATTTCTAATGAAATGATTTCTATGAAAACAAAATAAACTAAATGAAATGGATGAAATTAAAATGTTTTAACCAGTTAACCACATTTTAAAATAGCTAAAGTTTTTTGATTTTGTTCCTGTTACATTCCCTGTATTGTCTCTAATTAGAAAAGTTCTCATAGGTTTAAGATCATATAACCGTTGCAATAGCATTAATATCTGACTGACCTGATTCCATAGATGCAGTGTATGTAATTCCAGAGTGCTTTGCGGAGTGTAGAGGTGTCCACATGTGTGTGCATGGCCATGGTGTGATATGTCAGAGCACACACCACCTGAAACTTCTCATCCAGTAACTGAGCCATTTCCCCATACAGCCTGTTCATCAGAGAGAAACCATGGTCCTCCCATGAGTAGTCCTACACACAAATAAATTTACACACATCACTGCAACGTCTGGGGTGGAACATTCAGCAGACATACAGTATCCTTCGCGTGTGCTTGTGTGTTACGATGTGACTGATATACTGTTCAACCAATTATCCTGTATTTATCGGTAGCAGTAGCGACGGCTGAGGTAACCAAGACAATCTTGAGCACTCCAATTATTTTGAACTTTAAACTTGAGGCAGAGCTGTCGAAACTGGCTCAAAACACACATACTCGGACTTGCACTTCTGCTGCCTCTGGATAAAATAACACTGATTACACGTGTGTTGTTCAGGTGTAAACATATTAAGAATATCTAAAACAGCATGCTCTCCCACAGTATATATATATATATATATATATATATATATATATATATATATATTACTTGTAATAAATAAATTAAGAAATGTCTAAGAGCCAAATAGAATGCATTGCCCTTTCAAACAAGCTGACAGCTAGAACCACATATATAAACATTTCCCATATGATTAGCCAGTGTGACACGAGGAACTTCAAATCAGATCAGAGTATTTTGCTCAAACGGTAAGAACAATTCTGTAGGACCATCACTAGGAATCAGCAAATATCCCACTGATGAAGCACCAAGAGTCATTTTATATTGTAAAGAATAAACATCTCTGTTACAAGGGAAAATCCTTCCATATAAAGCTGAATTAGTGAATTTGAACACAAAACAGCTTCATGCTAAAAATATACAATGCATCCATACCTAATTTTAATTACTGAGATAAAATGATTTCTAGGAAGAAAACTGGTGCCAAGAAAAATACCAAGACTTCTGGCAGCCCGTAGTGCTCCAATATTTATATTACTGAGGAATTCATGCTGTTTAAGAAATTGACAGTTGACAACTGACAACTTTGTGTGTACTGCACCTGAGCTCTCAAAGTTGGTGGGGACTGCTCTCCTCTTGGACTGAAGTCCTGATAAATGAAATCTGGATCCCGAACAAACCGAGAGACAGAATCAGGGAGGGCTGAGCGCACCACTGCGGGGTAGAAAGAGAAAGGTTTGAGTACATGATGTGTGTTTAGAGGTGTCTATGTGTACGTATGTGTGTAGTACACAAACAACCTATTAATAGTAGTACCTTCTGCTGGTTCCAGTAAACTTTCTGTCCTTTCTCGCTCAAAACGAGTAACCAGCTCCTCTGGAGTGAACTCTTCTTCTTGCTGCTGAACTATCATCATCTTCTCCATCAAGAGCTGTACTTCATTGACAGCCTCAGTCCACTGTGAGAGACAGACACACAAACATAAATAATTCATATAAAAATCTGAATATGGTGTAGGGATGTCAAGCTTGTGATTATCAAACAATCTAATTCAATTACGATTCTTAAGGAAACGACTAAGTATTT